GGGGCTCATGTTTTGGGCCCACTGGGTCAGGGGCCCCGGTGGCCACTGCTGGTTCTGGGCTGGCAGGCTTGGAGCTGGCACAGACACTGTGGCCTGGGTCTACCCCTTTAATGGCTCCAGGGCTGGAGGGGAGGAGAGGAAGGTTTCCTGGTTGTGCCCGGAGTGGCCACCAGGGCTCCCTGGGAAGGGCTGGAGGCCCCCTATTTCGAATTAATTGTCTACACAGCACTTCATTCGAAATAGCTATTTCAAATTTGGCGTTACTCCTCCTAGAATGAGGTTTACCAAATTCAAATTAAGCGACCCGCTATTTTGAATTAATTTCAAACTAGCGGTTTGCCTGTGTAGACGCTAGGAAAGTGAATTGGAAATAACGGCTGTGATTTTGAATTAACTTTGCAGTGCAGACATACCCTTACAGACTAACAAAGCATGTAGATGGGATTGGGAGTTTTCATGGGCACAGCCCACTTCTTCGGAGGAATGAAGTTGAAGGGGTCCAGGTTCCAAATAAATAGCAGACAAGGGAAGGTGGTAGGGGAAATGGAACGAAGGGAAAACAGGAAAGAATAGTCAGAGTGTCCGTGCTAAATGAAGCGGACAGCGCGGGTTCTAAGTACTCGTAAGTACCTGGGGTTTGGCCTTTTCTGTCATTAGCTTGTGGGATGCAGCCAGTGATCCAGCTAAGGGCTCTGTGCAAACATCTTACTTGTAAATGAAATGAAGCTCTTCAGCTTTCCATTGCACACCTAGACAACAGCTGATTGGCTGTTTCTCCCCATTCACACTGGGTCTCAGGGCTTTTTCCTGTGGATCAGAGGTGAAGTCAATCCAGTTCATTAACAGTTCTTTTGATTACAGATCAATGGCCACCTTAACAAAGGGCTCCCCTGGAATGCTTGTTCTGCACACACGGCATGCGCCAGTGCTAAAACGCTCTGTTAATCAAGTGCACATCTCCCTTCATTCTTGTCCCAGCCGCCACGGTAGCAGCTGGGGTCGGGGCTGCGTGGCAACCGCTGGGGCTGGGACCACAGTACTGAACATGGCACCGCGGGCCCCGCCTCTAGGGGGGAGTCGCATGGGGGG